AGGCAAATCTGCTGCACAAAACCTCTTTAAAGTGTTAAAGAGCAAAGTTGTCAGTTTGAAGACTAAGATGCACCTGACCCAAGACGTGGTATTTTCAATCACTTCATATGCGTGTGAAAGTTGGACAGTGAATAAGGAAGACCATAGAAGAATAATCGATGCATTTGAGTTACAGTGTTGGAGGAGAATATTAAAAGTACCATGGACTACCAAAAGATGAAACCAATCTGTTGGAAGAAGCACATCCTGAGTGCTCCTGAGAAGCCAGAATGTCCAGACTTTGTCTTGCAGACTTCGGACATATTGTCAGGAGGGACCAGTCCCTGGAGAAAGATATCATATTTGGTAAAGGGAGGGTCGGAGAAAAAGAGGAAGACCCCCATCGAGATGGATTGGTATAGTGGCAACAACACTGGGCTCAAACATGGCAGGGATTGTGATTGGTGCAGGACTGGGCAGTGTTTGGTTCTGTTGTCCATAGGGTCACTATGAGTCTGTACCTACTCAATGGCACCTAACAACAAGGAGCTAAGACTGGTATTTACTTTTTTTAATGGTTGATTAGTAAAGGATAAAAATTCATGACACATGGAAAATTATTTGAAATACAAATTTCAGTGTTTATAGAGAAATTATATTGTAACACAGCCACACTTATTTAATTATGCATTGTATTGACTGCGTTTATACTATGAAGACAGCACTGAATAGTTTTGTTAGAGGCTATAAGGTTTGCAAAGCCTAAAATACTAATACAGGAACATTAAAGAACCTTATCATACTTCCTTTGTGGGCACCTTTTACTTGTTACTGTGGTATTTAGTCCCTCTATCCTTGCCCACATGCTCTAGTCATTGCCGGGGCTCTGTGCAGGCTTCCTTTTGCTTGGAACCCTTTCCTGGTACCTCTTCACTTGGATGACTTCTGCTCATCTATCAGATCCTAACTCAGCCTTCATTTTATAGTAGAAGCTGTTTCAGAACCCTCCATATAGGTTAGGTGTGTCTCTTTTCCGTGCAGGAAAGACCTTTATTCCCCTACTTGTGTCTCTGTTTTAGTTTTCTCCTTACCCACTTCAGGCTGCCTGGTTGGTCATTATCTGCACGTACTAGACTACAAACCACAAGGCTGGCAGTTCAAACCCACTAGTTGCTCCTTGGAAACCTAATACAGGACTACTGTGACTCGAGACTGACTCCACAGCACATGACAACACAACAACAACAATGCAAATACACTAACCCCTTCATCTCTTATCCTTCCAGTATTCTTTCATAGAACCTTAGGTGCAGCTGTCAACCAGGTCTCAGAGCAGCAGAATGCGGAGGGTGCGAAACACGCAGCACCGCCACATTGCCTTCCTTTTAACTCTTATGACCATCGGCCTCATGGATTCTGGCATTGTCATCAAGTCGTGCACCTACTCTGTCCACTCTCCCTTTTTCCAGTCTGACTACAGTGGTCTTTCTTACACCCCCAACATCCTCACTCTTTTTAACGTATCACACTTTGAAGATACCTTCCTTGTTCTTATGTCATGAACCTGTCAGACTCCCTCCTGAATTGTAGCCTCAACCTTCTCTTTGTTTCAAGGACAGAAGCTGGGTATGTCATTTGGTAAGGCCAGACTGTTGTGGTTGTTAAGTTGGTTCCGACCCATAGTGACCCAGTATAGGGTTTCCCAGGAATGGGCTGGTGAGCTTGAACCGGCGACTTTGCGGTTCAAACCAACTTTGCAATCCAGCGCATTAACCCACAGTGCTACGCCTAACTCATCTTGCATAAACAAAGGCATTCCACAAACTAGCCTTCTTTCATTCTCCTAACATTTTGCTTCTTTTAGATCATCTTAATCAGTGTATAAGCATACTGTATTATGTACCTTTGAGAATTTTTGAAAGCTCTCTTTGGAGCCCTGACCCTTATTCTTTCTCTTCTGCCCCTTGTTCTTGCTCTCTGCTCAAGTCACACTCCAAAAATACTCCTGCTTTTTTTTGCCTGGAATGATCTCCTCCTCTTTGCCTAGCTGACTTCCTTATTTTCTCCGGGTTCCTGCTTCAATGTCACTTCCTCAGAGAGGCGCTTTGTGGCCATTATATTACAAACAGTCTTTCCCTCTGTCAGACTGTCCTCATCCTGCTTGATTTTTCTTCAAGGCGTGTGTCACTGTAAGGATACTTTCTTTCAGGAAGACCTGCATAAATTGGTCCCTACAAGGTGGAAGTTAAAGATATCCCAAAAGTCCAACTTTCCCAACATGTTGTACCACTCCATAATCCTTGCTATCCACCACCACTCCTCCCCTTCCTCAATCCCAGGGTTCTGAATTATGCCTCAATGGCTCACAGAACCCACAACTGTCAAAGAAGTGACTCACACAGTTGTGGAGGCTGCGAGTCTCAAGTCCCAATTCCATAGTTCAGAGGTCAGTCAGTCTGGAGGAGTCTCCTCACCCACGGAGGCTCAGGAGGAGTTGAAGAACCCAAATCGGCAGGTCAGATGGCAGGCTGTTGTTGATAAGTGAGGCTGTGGGACCTGGTGAACCACATTAGGTCCAGAGACTAGAGGGCAGACCTGATGAGCCAGGTGCAAGATCCAGAACAACAGAGCGAACTTTGCCAAAGCAGTCCAAGATACTGAACTCAGACCATGCCCTGAAGGAAAACTAAGGATGGTGACTTGAGTCACACCCCTAGTAAGATGGGGATATCCTTAATCCTTTGCTTGGTTGGTTATGTGCCGTGGAGTTGGTTCCAACTCATAGCGACCCTGTACAGGGTTTCTGAGGCTGTAAATGTTTACGGGAGCAGAAAGCCTCATCTTTCTCCGTGGAACAGCTGGTAGTTTCAAACTGCTGACCTTGCGGTTTGCAGCTCGATTTGTAACCACGACGCTACCAGAGCTCCTTATCATTAGTGCTTGGTTCTACCTTAATCCTTACTCCCATCTTAATCCTATCTCATTAAAAACTCATTGTCAAATGGGTCAGTAATCATAGGCATGTTGTTGTTGTTGTTAAGTGCAGTGGAGTTGATTCTGACTCATAGTGATCCAGTATAAGGTTTCCAAGGAGTGGTTGGTGAGTTTGAACCGCTGACCTTGTGGTTCAAACCGACCTTGTGGTCCAGTGCGTATCCTACAGCACCACACAGCAGGCATAATGGCTAAGTTTTACAATCCATCACAAAATGGAACAAAATGGTTAGAAGGGCCATAATAAATAATTAGCTGCCCTGCAGTCACCATCTGAAACACATATTTATATGCATGCTGTTTCTCACCAAAAGGAAGGTTCTATGAGGACAAGGACCTTGTCTGCTCTGCTCAGAGCTAGGTAGATTCCAGCTACTGGAACTATTTCTAACAGGTAAACAAATAAACATTTGTTGAATATATGAATAAATATTTTTTAGGCTTCAACTTTTTCTTGATTCTGTAACTTAATATAGGAGCTCTGATAGTGGTTATGAGTTGGGCTTCTAACCTTGAGGTCAGTAGTTTGAAACTACTAGCCATTTCATGGGAGAAAGATAAGGTTTTCTGTTCCCGTAAATATTTGCAGCCTTGGAAACTCTAGGCAGGGTCGCTGTGGATTGGAACCGACTCAACGGTACATAATCATTAACCACTATAACTACACTTGGAGTCCTGGTGTGGTGCCATAGGATAAGCACTTAACCTCAAGGTCAGTTTGAACAGCAAGGTTAGTGGTTCAAACTTACCAGCTGCTCCTCAGAAACCCTACATTAGGGTCGATATGAGTCAGAAGTGACTTGATAACAATTAACATAGCTTAATATCATCAAAGTCCTGATTTTTTTCTTCTTTTTGTCCACTTGAACTTTCATGTGACAGCTTCATTTTAAAACTGATTTTCTTTGTGCTAGCAGTGGGTTGCCAAACCCTGCAGTGGGTTGGCAAACTGTTTTTGTAAAAAGCCAGCTAGAAAATATTTTATGCTTTGCATGCCATGTCACAACTACTAAACTCACCTACGAGGATAAAAACAGTCATAGATAATCTGTAAACAAATGAGCGTTGTTGTGCTCCAGTAGAAATGTTGACAAAAGCAAGCTGCAGGCTGGATTTAGCCTGTGGGCCATAGTTTTCTGAGTCATGCCCTACTCCAGGAGTTCTGGTGTGCTGTGTGATAAGCACTGGAATGCTAACTGCAAATTGGTGGTTCAAACCCATCAGCCTCTCCTCAGAAACACTGTATGTGATCGCTTTGAGTCGGAACTGACTTGATGGCACACAACAGCTACAAAAGAGCAAGTGTCTTTCAAAGGAAAGAGGGTTTGTTTTTCAGAATTCTCAACAAAAAACTTTCCGTTTTTAGCTTATTGTCCTGAATTGGATCTAATGCCAGTTACTGAGCCATTTCCTACTGTTAGTGGGGTGAGACTACCTCATTGGTATAAAGTACTCATAGCCCACCTTGAAGCTAAGGTGAAAGAAAGGAGCCTTCTCTGAAGCTGTCTGGCTGCATGAGGCCAGGTAATTAACAGAAGGAAACTGTACACCACCAAGAAGAACTGTGGGGGAATGGATGGTGGGTAGGCACCCAAGAAAGTTCTATTCTGCCGAATTTAACCCAGTGCATTACTGTTAGTGTTTTTAAAATGGTTGTCCTCCCTAAAATGTAAGCTTCTGAGCCAGGCACCAAATTGATTTCATTAGTAACCTAATCGTATACCTTGTCCAGGGCTTGGAAAAGTAGCCAGAATCCTTTGCTTTTGGAAATTACTATCTTTTTGCTCCTTTCTTTTCTTTTAATGTTTTATTGTGAATTATATGATAGTTTACATGGGAGAACTTTAGTTTTACATTTTTTGCTTATTTCTTGTAAGGATTTAGTAACAAAAGCATGTGATCCTTTTCAGTCACAGAAATGATAGGGTGAAACACTATCAAAAATTATTTTGTTTCATTGTTGATTAAAATGTCTAGTTCTTGAGGAATTAAATTGAACTTTTATTTATTTTTTTTTTTAATTTGAGGTTCACAAAAAAGATTCTGGCTTTTGGAGAGATTTTGGCTTTGGAATGACTTGTCAGTATCGATCAGATTTCCTGACCATTGGTAAGTATACCTCACATCCACGGATAGGCTCTAACATGCATGATCAGATATCTTAATGTCGTTTTTTTTAAAAAGTTCTCAGATTTGAGTATTTTTCTATTAAATTATGAAAGCTTGAGGTTATTTGAAAAGAGAAGTCTAGAGGTATCAAAGATAATGAGTTTATAATTAATGTCTTTGAATTGCAAAAATGAGGTCATTAAGGAAAAATACATTTATTTGACTCTTTAAAGTCAGAAGCTCACTAATTTGTTTTTTGTTTGTTTGTTGCTTACCCTTTATTGTAGTCTGGGTAAAGGTTTACAGAAAATAGGACTTTTCCACTCAGCAATCATATTCATTTTGTTTCGGGCCATTTGTGACAATGCCCTCAATATAGCAACACTCTGGGTTGCCAGGTTCCAGTCCTCTTTTCTTGCCCCTTCCTGCCTTCTAACATTTGTTTGTGTCCATATGCTTCCCTTTTTTCTCAAATGGTTGATAGCATTGGGGAGTACATTCCTCCCTGATATTAAAGCTCACCAGCTACTCCTTGGAAACCCTAAACAGGGTTGCTATGGGTCAGAATTGACTCGATGGCACTTAGCAACAACAACATATGTATATGTATCAGGATTGGCAGAAGACTCATTAACAACCTGCAATATGCAGATGATAACAACCTTGCTTGCTGAAAGTGAAGAGAACTTAAAACATTTACTGATGAAGATCAAAGAGCACAGTTTTCATTGTGAATTATGTCTCAATGTAAAGAAAACAAAAATCCTCACCACTGGATCAATAAACAACATTCTTAACAATGGAGAAAAGATTGAAGTTTGGAAGGACTTCATTCTTCTTGGATCAACTATCAACACTCACGGAAGCAGCAGTCAAGAAATCAGATGACGTATTGCATTAGGCAAATCTGCTGTACAAGACCTTTTTAAAGTATTGAAGAGCAAAGATGTCAGCTTGAGAACTAAGGTGCGCTTGACCCAAGCCATGGTATTTTCAGTCACCTCATATGCATGTGAAAGCTGGATGGTGAATAAGGAAGACCGTAGAAGAATTGATGCTTTTGAGTTACGGTGTTGGAGGAGAATATTGAAAGTGCCAAGGGCTGCTAAAACAACCAATAGATTTGGAAGAAGTGCAGCTAGAGTGCTCCTTGGAGGCCAAGATAGCCAAACTTCGTCTCTCATACTTCAGACATATTGTCAGGAGGGACCAGTCGCTGGGGAAGGATACCATGTTTGATAAGGTGGAGGGTCAGAGAAAAAGAGGAAGACCCCAATGAGATGGATTGGCCAAGTGGCAGAATCGATGGACTCAAGCGTGGCAACGGTACTGAGGTTGACCCAGGATTGGGATTGGGCAGTGTTTCATTCTGCTGTGCATAAGGTCGCTATGGGCCGGTACCAACTGGTTGGCACCTAACAACAACGAATGTATGTATACATGGACTGTGGTGCTTTAGGATAAGAACTGAATTGCTAGCACAAGATGGACAATCCAAACCCACTAAGTGCCATTGAGTTAATTCTGCCTCATAGACTCATAGTGACCCTGTTTCCAAGTAGCATATGCTGGGTTTGAATCACACACTTTGTGGTTAGCGGTGGTGGTGGTTGTTATTATGTGTCTTGGAGTTAGTTCTGACTCAACTCTGCATAGGGTTTCTAAGGCCATAAATCTTTATGGGAACAGAAAGCCTCACTTTTCTCCTGAAAAATTGCTGGTAGTTTTGAACTGCTGACCTTGACGTTAGCAGCCTTACTCGTGGTTAGTAGTCCAGGGCTATTCTTTAACGTTGTTAGGTGCTGTCCAAGTGACTCTGACTCATAGCGACTTCATGTAGAACAACAAAATGCTGCCCGACCCTGCACTCTCCTCACAATCAGTTCTCTTGAGTACATTGTTGTAACCACTGTGTTAGTTCATCACACTGAGGTTCTTCGTCTTCATTTTTACTGACCCTCTGTTCTGCCAAGTATAGATGTCCTTCTTCAGGGACCGTTCTCAGTAACCTGTCCAAAGTATGTGAAACAAAGCCTTGCCATCCTTTCTTTTAAAGATCCTTATGATTATACGCCCTCCAAAACTGATTTGTTTGTTCTGGCAGTCCATGGTATATTTAGTGTTCTTTGCCTACACCATAATTCAAATGTATCCATTTTTTGTTGATCTACCTTTTTCATTGTCCAGCTTACTCATGCACATGAAGTCATTGAAAATAACATGTCTTGGTTGGGTCTAGAACATCTTAGTCCTCAAAGTGACATCTTTGCTTTTTAACACTTCAAAGTGCTACAGATTTGCCTGCTTCCATGAGTATTGATTGTTATACTAATTAACCTTAGTGTCCCCTAGGTCCAACGACTCATTCCTTTAAGGTGTTTGATTATGTCTAAGTTTTCATAACTTTGCCTCCTGTATGTTCCACCACATTTGTAGATATATTTGCAGCCAAGGATAGTACTCGGATATAAATATTCTCTGTCAAACATATATATATATATATATACACACAAACACATATATGTGGGTACGCTCCCTCCCACACCTACTCAGCTTGTGTTCAGGCATCTACTTGTAGATCACTGTTATTGTAGGATTGTTATTGCAGTATGTAACAGTATTTATCTTTTTGTTGTTAACTCTCGCTCTCCTTCCAGCGTTGTCCCCGCCACCCATCATTTTATGACAGTCTCCTCTTTATTCTATATTGCCTTCTCCCTCACACAAATAACATGTGCATTAATTTCTTTCCAAGTTTAAAAGAATCTGGTATATCTTGCAATCGTCTCCATTTTCAGGTTCTGCAACTACAGTATTCCCTCTTTTTACTTTGTAATGGTATCCTTTCCAAACTGATATTTCTGGTTCCCTATTTTCATTCTTGTAGGTTTTTGTTGTTTTTTTTAAACTTTGGATTCTTTTATATCTGTATTGTGAATGTGGTGGCTCCATATGTCAAGCACTAAATTGAGAACCCTAAGGTTCATGGTTTGAGCCTGCCAGTTGCTTCACAGAAGAAAGATAAGACTTTCTGCCCTCACAAAGATTTAAAAAGCCTTGGAAACCCTATGTAGAGTTGCTATGAATTGCAACTCACTTGATGGCACTTAACAGCATATCTGTGTTAACTTCTTGATAATGGTGTCATGCATGTTAATGCATGGTTATTGTCCATTGTGGTGGTTGTCCATTGTGGTTGGTTCTCTGTCTGAAGAACTTCCTTTAGTATTTCTTGTTAGATTGATATGATTTTTTACAAATTCCTTTTAATTTTTTTGTTTATCTGGAAATGTCTTAATTTTGCCATTGTATTTAAGGGACAGTGTTGCCTGACATATTATTATTGTTTTGCAGTTGTTGTTGTTGTTTTTTTATGTTATCCCATTACGTTCTTGTTTGCATGAGTTCTGCTGAGAAATCAGAGTTTCGTCTTATTGGTTCTCTTTTGTAGGTAGCTTTTTATTTTTCCTCAACCGATCTCAGGAGCTCTCTTTGTCTTTGGTTTCTGAAACGTTGATTATGATATGTCTTGGTGATTTTCTTTTGGGCTCCTTCCTGATTGGGGTTTGTTCAGCTCCTTGAATGCATAGCTTCTCATCTTTGATGATATTAGAGAAGTTGTCATCCAACAACTCTTTGACAAAGTTCTCTGTTTTTACCTTTTTAAAAATTTTTTGTCTCTTCCTGTTAGGGTATTCCAATCACACGTTATTCCTCTTGATAGTGTGTGTGTGGGGGTAAATATACATATATATATGTTGTTGTCATTATGTACCGTGGAGTCGATTCCGACTCATAGAGACCCTGTACAAGGTTTCCGAGGCTGTAAATCTTTACAGGAACAGAAAGCCTCATCTTTCTCCCGTGGAACAGCTGGTAGTTTCAAACTGCTGACCTTAAGGTTCGCAGCCCAATTTGTAACCACTACGCTACCAGAGCTCCATATCTATATCTATATCTATCTATCTATCTGTCTGTCTGTCTATAATAATCCTGTTTATTGTATTTGGATAACCTTTTTTCTTTTTTCCCTGAAGTAAAGACTTTATAATGTCTTTCTTTTTCTTTGGTTACTTCCTGAAGTGAGTAAAGAATTTATGGTCGCTTTCTTTTTCTTTTAAGTACTTCCTGGAGTAAAGAATTTATGATTCTTCTCAGACCTGGTAAAATGGGGGTACACTGGAGCTTATGAAGGTATGGGTTATCTTCCTCTAAGAATGGGCTAAAACATATTAAGAGGAATGATATGTTGAATATTCATCAAGGGACCCAGACTTACTGAAAATGGAGTTCCTTCTGCAGTTGTCAGCTCTAGGCATTATCTTCATGGTTCTTCTGCCTGTGGCCAGCTGCTTCAATTAGAGTTTCAGGTCTTGATGTCCTTACCTTTGTCTCGAGGCTAGTCTTCTCAGTATGACTATTCTTGTTGGACTAGAAATGTCTTACCCACTTCCTTGATCCCTGTTTATAGTAGGAGAAAACTCAGGGTGCAGGGCTAAATACGAAACCAGAATAAGAGGGGTCTAGGGCCCAAGGGTTCTAATGTGTCCCTGACAAGATGGTTTGTGTTTAGAAGCTAATATGGGTAAAATGTAACATTGCCATGAGGGAGATGCAAAGGGCTTTTGCCTATGACCAGCGAGTCAAGTTAATAGTAAATACAACTGTGGCATCTCTCCCTGTTCTGTTATCCTGTGAAAATAAGAGAAGACTCGGAGACAATTGTCTAATGTTGATAAATATCTGTGCCCCTTTAGAAAAAAATGAGAAACATAAATATAGTACCTTGAGGGGTCCCTATAATAACTGGAATGATGTTCAGTGGACCACCCAATATTGGTATTGGACTTCTAGCTCGTACAAGGGTCCACTCCAGCCCCCCATTGCAAACCCTTACAATGCAATCAGTCCATTACTCTTAATTATAGATAATCCCAAAACCATGACTAGGGAACCTTCAATAATAGGAAACTATGGATTGGGAGCCGATGTTACAGGAA